TACACATAACATAGTTCCCTTATTTATATATGGCGCTGCATTGGGGCAGGTATTAAACCAGATTCGAGACATGCTGCATGGGAGAGATATACTGCAGCCGAGAAGATAATAATGGAATATACGGATATTAAAATATTACTTGTCCTGCTTGACAACGGTACAAGAATCTGTATCGAGACGTCGCTCACTAAATAAAATAAGTTGTTCTCCATAAAGATTGTTAATATCACGTCATTATCCATAAAGATTTCAATTGTTTACTTTCCAACTTCTAAAAGGCCACTCAGAGAAAAACGAAGTGATACTTCTTGTACCGGTAGTTTCAATAAAAGTGACAAAACCCTTCCATGTTCAGAAGAAACACACAAAAATGGATCATACAATCCCGACTTTATTATGAGTTTGTTATTATTAATCAATATCAAAGAGTAATGGTATAATGTGGTCGCTAAAAGGTATTCGGTATCTGCTGTTGTAATTACTGTTATATAATACAACAGTAACTCACTTCTCGTGCGACACCTATTGTCCTGGCGAATCTATCTGTTTCATTTAAATAATAATTAAAATTATCGTTTTTAAACAACAGTAACGTACTTAAGATCAATCGTTATATCTGACAAATATTAATACTTCTGTCAGAAAGTAAGCATGAACCTTCCTTCAATTAGCCTATACTTATGAGAAAGCGTAAATTGATTCATATTTAGTAGGATTAATCCTCTCGTATGAAAGCAGAATTTGCTAGAAATGGAACATTCTACAGTTCTATTCTTCCCTGATAAAATTACAACTTGATCATGGCAAATGTTGCTTACCTTTTAACCAGCCACAAATCCTTTTCCATAACCTTAAGAAGTCTCAGAGCAAAGAGTCCATGGTTAATATTCCGACTACACCGAGTGTGTGAGAGAGTTTAGTTTTTCGCCGCACTCAGCAATATTCCAGCTATAATGGCGGCGGTCTGTAAATAATCATGTCTGGACCAGACAATAAAGTGATCAACAGCATGAGCATCGATCTACTCAATTGGGATACGATGACACGTGCCAACCAAGTCAGCGAGCCTGAACACCCGATCCCGTTAGTCGCCTCTTACGACAAGCATGGGTTACTGAAGACCAATTCTAACCCGGATCTTCACGGGTGTTTTGTTTATGAATTAACACCATATAGTATATAGGTGAGCATGCCCTGCTCCACTGGTGACACCCTTCACAAACACATGCAAAGGCAAGACAATTTTTCATCTAAAAAGCACGGCAGCATAAGTCAAGAAAGGGGAGTGCACAATCCTACATTTTTGTAAAGCCGTATGTTTTTTACCGCACTTAATGCAATAATACATTGTATGAATATATTGTTCTCTTCAAGATTCGACTTCAATATAAGGTGGGGTAGCCTAGTGCCTAAAGCGTTAGTTTCTCATGCCGTAGACCCGGAATCGATTCCCCACTCAGGTAAAATGTGTCAAGCCCATTTTTGGTGTTCACGGGGCGGTGGGGGTAACCTAGTGGTTAAGGCGTTCGCTCGTCATGCCGAAGACCCGGGTTCGATTCCCCACATGGGTACAATGTGTTAAGCCCATTTCTGGTGCCCCCCACCGTGATATTGCTGGAATATTGCTAAAAGCGGCGTAAAACCAAACTCACTCACTCACTCACTCACTCTGGTCTTCACCTCTTTGACATTGGAAAATATGCGGCGTAAAACTACTCACTCAGCAAATCACTAACAGCATTTTCAATATACGTATGCCTTTAATGCATATAGACAGCCCATAGTGGTCCCTCGAAATCAAACGCACTTCACTTAAGTCACCTTCCAACTTAAATTTGCAGCGATCTTGTATTTATGACTACGCTGTCTTTGTAACAGTGGAAGGTTTTACAATGTTTAAAGCAGCCATTGTATTACCTGGTGAGTATTCCCCTTAACAAACGACCCAGATTTGGATGAAAATACAACTTGACGTGGAGAGGACTCCAGAGTAGTTGAGGCAATAACATATCAAAAGGGATATATATTGTATATCTCCCTGTGTGCTCCCGTAGAACGTATGTAAATATACTTAAGATAGGTAATTCGTGTGTACCGGGCTTTTCTGTGGATGGTAGTTGATTTCACAGTACTGTCATATGTAATAACGCTACATAGACGGTTCACTCAATGACTTCTTATTATCACTGGTTTTCGATTAATTAATTAATTAATTAATTAATATTACCAACAGCCCAGTGGGTTAGCCCAGTGGTTTCAGCGTTCGTGACACCGAAGACTAGGTCCGATCGGTCTTACTGTTCAATATCTGTAGATCTTTCTTTACAGTTAACCAAATTATAATTTTACAGATGACGATAAATGCGACAAAGAGGTTTGAGGGATCCTTACACAGTCAGGATTATCACATCACGCTGGCCCCTGTAACATGCAGTCCAGCCACCAGATGGGATTTCTCCCAGGAAGCGCAGCCTAGGTCAAACCCACCAAGAACGTTTCGGAGAAATGTATAGACTCCCCAATACTGAGGCTGTCTGAATTACCGAAAGTGTCAAAAGGATTTTGTTCCTTGCAGTAAAGGGGCGATGGGGTAGCCTAGTGGTTAAAGCGTTCGCTCGTCACGCTGAAGGCCCGGGTTCAATTCCCCATATGGGTACAATGTGTGAAGCCCATTTCTGGTGTCCCCCGCCGTGATATTGCTGGAATATTGCTAAAAGCGGCGTAAAACCATACTCACTCACTCACTCACTCACTCCTTGCGGTATAACCGGGTGCTCTCCCTATGTCGGTTAAGATATTGGGAGGTACCAAATCTAAGGCATCGAGAACAATGGGAATTACTCGGTAGGTGCGCATATTACACCTTCACGCCAAAGGCCCAGGTTCGATTCTTCATTGATCCGATGCGTGCAGTCATTTGGTGTGTCGTCTCAATTTTACAAAAATATTTCCAAAAGCGTTCAAGCTCAATAATCTGTCATTTAAGTAGAAATGAAGCCATCAGTTTTATGTGGCATATCATAGACATATAGCACCGCCAATAAATAAAAAATATCCTATGTATTCATACAACTACAGTTAATCTCTCTATCATAGATATCGGGTATTGTTTAACGTATCTCGAATAATGTATAAAACCTTTACTTAAGTCTCTAACTACAGCAATTGCTAAAAGCGGCGTAAAACCAAATTCAGTCAGTCAGTCCGTCTAACTACAGTAAAGATTTTGCGTTTCATTAAATGTGACTGGAAAGTAATGTTAAAGTTAACTTACCCCCATAGTGTTCCTCGCTCGCCTGTCCTGGGGGTCAAATAAATATTCAGATAACTCTCTAGTCCCTAATTCAAGGTCCTAAGCTTGATACGAAGATTTACTGATCAGAAATCCACCATGAATTGCGGTCACGATACTGGTAGAATGTCGCCTCCATGATAACAAGCAGACGACACGACAGTGAACAGGCGTCAGAGCACGTGCTAAGCAGACCACAATATCTACTGGATAAGTTATATTGATCACGGGTTGATCCAAGTATTGCGTGTTAGTCTGTTTGACCCGGGTACAATCATTACCCGGTTGATCTTGTTTGATCGGCGGTCAGTTTGTAATTATGTATGACAGTTGTCACAGGAAAGGTGGCAGACGACTTTTGAAACCTCCCGAATCCAATCCGTGCCTCAATTTATTCTGTGGTATCACTGTGCCCGTGGGTAAAAGAAGTGGATAATGAATGTCCTTTCAAATGCAAATCTGTAAATACAGTGTCGTTGTTGCACATGCATGTTTTCCATGATTAATATGAATCGTGGACTCTTGCTTTGTGTCTGTTGGCTCGTTACAGAGACTTGTCACGTCAGGGTGTGTGTCTTCAATCGTACAACGGAAATTTCAAAGCACTTTGTGGAACGAACATCTTAAATTCTAAAGCCCAAACCTACCTAATGCTTATGCATGTACTCCATAACGCCACATTCTCGATAAAAGAAACAATGCTATCTTTCAAAAAGATTGAATTTAGCTTTGAGAACGCGAATCTGATATACAGTAATCACGATCAATCACATTCGCTAAAACACCATTCAGAAATTACAGATTCAGAATGATAAAGCTGTACTATTCTTATACTGACAAGTCCTAATGAAAGAATAAAAATTGTTCAAAGTCATAAGCAAGTCCTGTCCTTGTGATTATTATACCATGTACCTACTGTCAACAGATAACTTCGCTTCAGCCAACCCAGCTTCCTCAAACTCCAAGTGTTGTCAACAAGTATAAGGTTGATTCTCCAAGCTGATAAATCAGACATCAGACAGGGAAATGTCATATCCATTAAGCTAGTTAATCTGCAGTCCATCCACAGGCCCACTGAGCCCACACTGAACCGAACTGGGTTAATTCACCACGCATATGAAGTTTTCTGGTCTGAGGCGACCAGACCTATTGTTTCATGTTGTCTTACACCCTACTGTAAATAAAAAGGACATAAACCTTTCCCACACTCGTAAGAAATCTCTTCTAAAAGCAGAGTCCATATTACGATTCCCACTGTATCGTGAGTATGTGTTTATGAATCAATTTCAAATTGTGATTAAATCAGGTGTTCACGCAAGGGTTAGCGTATCCTGCCCTCGCAAAGGTGAGCTATCCTGACCCGCTGGTGGCTGCGGGTAACCACTTCACAGAACAACGGAAACAGTCAATTGTAAACACGAGTATGTGTGTTTAATGTGGGTTTTGTTCCCCCCGATGTGTCTATTCTCCAACACGCCTCCCTCAGCGCCTGTTAAACCGAGCAGACGACATCAATGGCTCTCACGCAATAACGTTTGAGGGGAAATTGTTTCCGAACAGGTACTAGACTTGTTTGTTGTGTTTGAGTACGTCTCCATTGGTCCTTGATCAAATTAACTCGTGCTTAGCCGATCGAGTTTGACGTCAGGTCTCATAGTTACGTTTTTAATAAATGTGGGATTGGTGACATGATCAATATTTTACATACCTTGGGGTGAAAGCCTCCCTTCAAGTACCACTGCAGACACCTGTGCATGCCCTTGTTTCGATACTGCAGTGGATATGAAAAATAACGCGGATCCACAAATTACTTGACCTTCACCTTTACACACGACATGGTGTCACTTCAGATTATAATGAATCCATAATGTGGGGCCTGTCGCTGTCACATTTGCTCGGTCTTGTTTTTAGGGGTTGTTTTTTTTACAGTTGTGAGTGTGTTGGTTGTCAGATAACGATATTCTGCCTGTATCAAGACTCAGTAGATAATAGAGTCTGGGCCAGGCAAACCAGCGGGGTGTCAATGCCCCATATGCATGCTGTTGGGGTGCGGAAACTCCAGCAGTCAAGTCAGAAAGCTTTGTTCGCTCCTTTAACTGGTTAGAAAATCACTCTCCTGTGTGAATAACTGATTTCAATTCAAATTACTTTCCGAAGAAGAATTTGTCAAAGTAAGTATGATAAACATAGTATTTACATTTCATTGACACGTATCACAACAGTGAATCCGCCTAAAGGTAGCCCTCGACTCGTACGAAAAGGCAGAAGATATAAAGTTACACGTGGCCTAATACGTGACCGATATCAGCGAACATATATCCGAGAACAAATACTTCATTCCAGTGAGCCTTGTACGTGTGATTACACCCTTTTCGCGAACACCTGGTGTCCTCACTCATTTTCAGAGATCCATCCGAGCCAGTGGAATCTATTTCATTGGGTGATCACTGGTTATTCTCTGGTATTAACATATATCTCGCTACCCAAAGACATAACAGCCGTTCGATGAAATGGGAGCGTGGTGACTACCTCTATTTAAACTGATTATTTGTTGAGAGGCAGTTTGTTTTGCGCACAAAGTATTAAGTGCACATACAAATGAAGCTAGAAGATTGGAATGAGCGTGAGGAAAATTAAATTTGGGCCAATATGTCAGGGTACTTCAGAGGTACAGATAAGCTGCGTATCTGCGTAAATTACGCAAATAGTTATGTGAAACCTCAATTCTTATCAAGTTTGTTGCGTACAAGTACACTTGAATTTTTGTAAATTCTCAATATATTTGATCTTCCATGCGTACACACAAAAATGTCAAATCTTAGCTTGTGTGGTGCATAGATAAAATAACTAAAGTATATTGAGAGGTTCTATTTCAACACATGAACCAGTCAACTTGCAGTCTTTTCTTATTGTTTCTCATATAACAGATCCAGTATAAATAACATTTAAACTATATTATATTTTTACAAGTAATGGAAAATGACAAAATACCCATTTGAGTTTGAGTGAGGTGGGTAAAATTTATTTGGTTACTCAAAGGAAAATTAAGATACCCAATTAAGATGAGCACAAGCGAGTTCATAACTCATGACTCAAAAAGTTATCTGTAGCTCTGTAGTACTTTAATGTGATGAGCCTAAACGTTTGATATTTAGTGTCTTACAGCCTTGAGGGCGGTGGGGTAGCCTAGTGGTTAAAGCGTTGGCTCGTCACGCCGAAGACCCGGGTTCGATTCCCCACATGGGTACAATGTGTGAAGCCCATTTCCGGTGTCCCCCGCCGTGATATTGCTGGAATATTGCTAAAAGCGGCGTAAAGCTAAACTCAGTCAGTCAGTCAGTCTTACAGCCTTGTATTAAACGTAGCAGATAAAACATCACAAGCCTATCAGTAATGTTACAAGCCTAAACAATCATTTCATCCCGAACCAATAGCCAATGTACCAATCTGTGGTATAGTAGAGAGAGTGTCTGTCCCGTGAGCGGAAGGTTCGTGTTTCGATGCCAGTCCGTCTCATGCCAAGTACATTTGTTTTATATGGTGATTCTTATTACCCTGCCTGTCACTCGGCATTAAATGGATTGGCCGGTTCTGGGTCAGTGTACTGTGTCTGAGTGGGGTATTTATGTTGAAAATGCGGCATGATATCTAATTGGGCTGACACAGCATTAGTTCGGGCAAGGAGGAGACGTTATCCCCAATTTCAACGGAACCATATTAAAGATCGTCATCCAGCATTTGAAAGTTGCGATCCGTGATGTTCAGCAGTTTTTTCAATTGATATTTGGTCATCAGTGTTCTCTTGACGTCTCTGTACATCATATGGTTAAAGACAGCAGATAAAACAGTACATGTTAGGAGTTCCTTTATTAATGTCTGACTAACTAACTGGATGAACGTCTAGAGGGAGCTACATGAGAAGCTAAGCGACTTGTCACGCCTGTCAGGCCTGAAGATGTGTCTAAACACTGCCCCCTAACCAGTAGGTCAATATTTGGAGTGGACGCTAAGATAGAGACGAAGTAACACGCTCCTCCACGTCGTTTAGCTGAAAGGTATATCCTGTATCTATGAACAACTGTGTGTTAAGGCGTTCATTCAGAGGGCGGTTGGGTAGCGACCCATTCGTATTATTTTGCCGTTCACGTCCAATCTATTTCGGGGGCGCATGTGTAGCCTAGTGGTTAAAGTGCTCGCTCGTCACGCCGAAGAAGCGGGTTCGATTCACCACATGGGTACAATGTGTGAAGTTCATTTCTGGTTCCCCCCGTCGTGATATTGCTGGAATATTGCCAAAGCGGCGTAAAACTAAACTCACTCACTCTATTTCGGTGTGATAACCGAGACTAGTTGATATCTGGACACCGACGTTTTTCCTACTTGTCAGCTATCCTCTGGAACAATCTGCACGTGTCTCTCAAAGAATCCCCCTCAATAGCCAGCTTCCAGTCTAACCTAAAAACTTTCCTGTTCAAGAAGCACTATGACTTCTAAATGAACTCCTATTGTAAATATGTATATAGTTAGCGCCATGAGCAACCACTTGGTGATTGGATATAGGGCGCTATACAAATGGACTTATTATTATTATTATTATATCTGGTGCTGCCGTTTTATATCAACATTTCCGGTTTGCTGGTTCCTGGTTACCAACGTTCCTCTGTACCCATAGCTGTACCTAACATTGTCACACACCTCACTGTACCCAAATGGTTTGATTTTGTTTTCATGATATCGACCAGTGGTAGTCTGTAATCGATTATTTATACTAGGCTTCTGTGATGAAACAGTCAACTAATTTGAACTTTTGTACACGTAAACTACCTTAAAAGCTTTATGCATGTATTAACGATCCTTTGAAAGACCTATTGTCTCAACTCTTACATGCTGTTACTGACATCATATAACAATACTCACTCACTTGACTATGCCTGGTAATGTTACTTACTTTCCTGCGCTTACACTGGAAACGGTCCCTGTTTGCAAAGTAAAACATTCCATTCTTGTTTCCTGGTGATTTTTCCTCACTATTTTTAACAATGACTCTAATTGTTACATTTTGTTTGTTTGAATGATTTTTTTTAATGGAGAAGACTCCAGTACTGTAACATTTTCTCTGATCTTTTAATACACCATTACAATAAAAATACTACATCCTCATACGAGTCCGACTATATCATAAACAGATGTTAATGCAACAGAACCAAATGATTATACAAGGTGGTCGCAAAGAGGTAATCGTATCCGAAATCAATGGTGGCAACAGTCATAAACACATGCAAGGGCAAGTCAAATGTTCACCTACAAATACACGTGAACATATGGCGCATTTCAAAGTAGGGCATCATTTTGGTCACGAGTGGGTCAAATGTAATGTGGAAACGTCTTCCACATGTTTACCCTAAAAAAACCCGAACCGGGAACTTGTGGTACAAGCATTTAAATATATGAATTACTTCTTTGTTTTTGTATCCTAGTGGTTAAAGCGTTGGCTCGTCACGCCGAACACCCGGGTTTGATTCCCCACATGGGTACAATATGTGAAGCCCATTTCTGGTGTCCCCCGCCGTGATGTTACTGGAATATTGCTAGAAGCGGCGTAAAACCATACTCACTCACTCACTCATGTACGTTCACACGACCCTACTGCCCGTGTACTTACTAGGGTTCTTTTCTGGTAACTATGACGTGATATCAATTTACCTGTGTACATAACAAGGAGAGTACTTCGTTTACCTGAACACTTATCTTCTATAGTAGTGTATCAACAGAAGCTCCACAAAAAGATTCCTATCAATGCAAACCGAAATGTGTGCGATATTTTCAATAGGAAGTAAAAGGGGCATGGACAATTCAAAGCTTAGAAGGTATATAATCCTTCTGCATTTCAATCTCCAGCTAGTGATAGTTTATTTATTGAGTTGGGTAGCTCGGTATTACCGGTATTACGACGATCACAAACTCATATTCTGGTGATTGAACAGCATGCAACACCACTTGAGCTTGACTGGTGGGTGTAACGTGGGTTTATTAACCTGTACAAATATGACAGATAGGCATAGATGATTTGCAGGTACGAGATTCTGGCGGGTCTTATACCGAAGTACTTTTCTGTGGTTTGACTAGTACTCAGCGAGCGTAATTTTATCTTTGGGGGTAGTTAATTGTGAAGGACATTAAAGTGGGATCTAAATGGCAGATAACTAAAGTGAACGACAGATATGCTAAGCTACATGTACACTCGGTGCAACACACAAAGGATGGTAATATCCCGAGACAACGAATAACAAAAACATGTATTTGGCGCTTAACGCGCGTGTGGGTGAGTGCGTGTGTGGGGTATTCTCACACACATATACATACATGTAGATATTTATACATATAAAATATGTGTGTATATATATGTACATTAATAAAAATAAATTAAAAAATATATGTATAAATGTATATAATGTCCACACTTGCTTGCAGCGTACATACTAAATACTAAAAGGTAATCAAAATTAATATACTATTCACACTTTGCTAAGGATCAAATCATGGATTCAACAGAAAACTATGATGTGGGGTCAAATTTGGTTTAAATATCTATGCTTATTGTAAGCATGGATCCTAGTTTTCAGTATGTCACTGCATCTTGTGGATCCCATACCTGCTACTAACAGGTGTTGTGTACTTGTCAATGACTCGTTCCATGATTTGCAAAATGGTTGATTGGTGCCATGAAAATCATTTTGATGGTTACTCATGTATCAACTGCATAAGGTTAAAGTGACTGTTTGCCTAAAGAGGGGTTACCATATTATTATTTATCCAGTTTTAAATTGATACAATTTCAAATTATGAATCTACGTTTAAGTCAAGTTGTGATTTTTTGTGATCCTTAGCAAAGTGTGAGTAGTATAGTTTATGTTTATGTCTATTTTGCATGTTGTGTAACTATCGTATAAGTGAAGCGATTCATACAGTAATGAATATCATGAAAAAACACAACGGCCAAAGTCGAGTGCTATTTGTTGTGACGCCCATTCCTGGTGTCTGGTGTCCCCGCCGTGATATTGCTGGAATATTGTTAAAAGCAGCGTAAAAATAAACTCACACACCCAATACTATTTTCTGTGCAGTTAGAATTCTATAGTTGTGGGTTCGACTCCAGATTATGATTCTGGGTTTGTCAGCACCACAACTGTGCTCGTGGGTTCAATCAAAGAGATTAACGTCTAAAAGGTATAGCTATCAATAGACTTAATAACAGCGTTTATAAATGTCCCTGTCAAATAGCGGATGTAAGAACTGACATTTTAGATTTGTCATAACAGATGAATTCAGTAGGAGTCATGGACACTAATGTTTTATGGAACAGTCTGGTAACTGTAGATGATGTTGGAATAATGCCGCGCCACATATTCAAAGAATACTGGAAGCAATTGATACAGAGACTGCGACACGTGGGACCGGCAGAAATAAAACTTCAGCTGCTATCGGAGGGGAATATATGTTCAGATAGGAAGCTTAATCACGTCGTAGAGCACGGTATATATTCAGATGTATTATAACGCCATTTCGACTAGATACTAACATATACGGGACGTTATAATTGACTGGAACCACCGGAACAACGATGTATTGGTTGTTCACAGGGCACTGATTCAGAGCACCATGTCCTTTTGATGATCTCAGAGATAGGATCTTATATCATGAGGTTATTTTACGTATTTAGGAATTATTAATATGGAATATTATCACTAATTCTGATCAAAATTGATCTTATACTTTTCTTCCAAAATCAGCAAAACTATGATACTTCAACGGTGAATGAGATGTTCTAACGTTACTTATTCTTCAGTCTATCATTGTGTACATACTTATAAAGAATATTGATTTCTTTCTCTCACAACTCCACAGGAGTAGCAAAAGTACATTGTATGACGTTATTTATTGTACAGACACATGTAGACCTGGTGAGACAATAATACAGAATCACACAGCCTTGAATGGAGATTGTTCCGCAGTCTAGTACCTATAATCATAAGGGAGTCAAACTGGGTCATGGAATCAGAAACAAAAAACCGCCACATCAAAAACTGCTAATGGTCGGGACATCGAATGGTAAGTATCTCTGAAACATGTAAGACTGTTTGAAACTGAAACATTTGAGACCATATGAAACTAAAACATTTGAGACCATGTGAAACTAAAACATTTGAGACCATATGAAACTAAAACATTTGAGACCATGTGAAACTAAAACATTTGAGACAATATGAAACTAAAACATTTGAGACCATGTGAAACTAAAACATTTGAGACAATATTAAACTAAAACATTTGAGACCATGTGAAACTGAATCATTCTAGATCATTTGAAACATGTAAGACCTCTTTTGGGCATGTATGACTGTAAGGAGTGAAAAAAACATCTGAGTATAGAGCTTATACGATTAGGTTGTTTCAGATATCTGTCGGTTTAAACACTTAGTGACTCAAATGAGTTTCCCAAGACTGATATTCGGTGTCACGGGCTTTGGTCCAGTGGTTCCCGGACATCACACTGGATCCCTCCCAAAGTACAGATGTTCCATGTCTGGATACCTGTAAGGCCTACTTAAATCACATCTAACAGCTGAGGGGGCGGTGGGGTAGCCTAGTGGTTAAAGCGTTCGCTCGTCACGCCGAACACCCGGGTTCAATTCCCCACATGGGTACAATGTGTGAAGCCCATTTCCGGTGTCCCCCGCCTTGATATTGCTGGAATATTGCTAAAAGCGGAGTAAAACCATACTCACTCACTCTAACAGCTGATACCTTTAGCAGGGTCTGATTTAAACTGAAATATCAATTCGAAAAAAGTAACTTACCAGTATTCATTGTCCGTGTCACATGTCGAGTTATCCATACCAGATAGTTCCCGATCCGCCCATTCCGGCCTCTCCCCCATGCTCCGTAGATCTACACATAGTAAGACCTTTTTGAACACTCAAACGCCGACAGGGTATTTACCAGTGCACGTAAACAACAAAAACAACAACAGCATCTGTATAAGTCGGACTCCATAACCCCCGTACCTACAGTAAACAGTTCTATTCATCTGCGGTAGTCGTTGTCACGAGTTTATTAAAACGCATGTGAATGAGACGGACATTCCTTTATCCCCCCCTTCCCTTCCCATTCCACTCAACACAAGTCGTGTCTTCCGGATTAGACCTGCAGCTAATCGATATTAGTCTTTGATTTGTGTTCGTAGGTTGGCGACATATGAAAGATATCAATGATATTTATTGACCGCGCGCCCATTGTTGCCATTTGCTGCATTTACGAAATACATGGCTTTATTGATTCCGATTTCGGATCAGGTGTATTAGTTTGCTTTTTGATTGTACCGACTTGCATTTTAAGGTATGAAGAATACTCAACGTAGTGTGAAGAGAACAGAAGGATATTTTCGTTTCAAGAAAGGTAAAACGGATTTAGTAATTACACTGGACACCTTAACAACAAATTGAGACTGTTTTCTCATGTGTAGATATATAAACAGAAAGTGAGTAATGTTGGGAGTTAGTTAGTTTGGTTTAGCTGCGCTTTGGGCAGTTTTCAAGTTATGACAGTGTGTAGGTGAGGAAAATCCCAAGTTATTTAAGTCTTAAACGTTTACCACTTTGATGACATCCATGGTGCTGACAAACCAAGAATCATAATCCGTAGGATCTGGGAATCGAACCCACGAATATGCGATTCCGGTAGCACAGTGAATACCTTAGGTTTGGCAATCGAGTATTGTCAAATATTAGGACACAGACATTGTGTTGACACATTAGGAAACAAACTCAAGGGTGCTGCTGTGTGTCGTAAATGACGGCGCTGTTACTTCTAATAAAGGGACGGTGAGGTAGCCTAGTGGTTAAAGCATTCGCTCGTCACGCTGTTCGATTCCCCACATGGGTACAATGTGTTAAGCTCATTCCTGGTGTCCCCCGCCGTGATATTGCTGGAATATTGCTAAAGGCGGCATAAAACCATACTCACTCACTTATTATGAATTTTATGAAGTGACGACTGAAGGCATTCCACCCATATAACTGAAATAATTCTTGAGACTGAACGCGTTTGATTCGCTCACTTAATTTTGCCATGAGAAGGTCTTATGTGTTGTATTGTTTATGAAGTCAGTAACTGATTCCTGACGAAGTGGGGATTTAGTTATAAAAGTGAACACACGCACTCTTACCATTCCCCACATGCACACCCACATGCCTGATGCACACGCACATGCCTGATGCACACGCACACACGCATCCCTCTTCCCCACTTTACATGTTTAACTGTAAAGTTGTGTTCAAAAACCTCATACTAAAATAATCAAAATATTGTATCAATCAACATCGTAAATTATACAACCACCTGCACTCGTATCTGGATTCACACCAAGTCGTCTTGTCAAATGCCAGCGTAAAATGATTAATGTGTCACAGAACGATAATACCGACAGACATTTGATATGATAAAGACAACGCTGTCTTCCACAGAAACCTATCACCATTAAAGGTGTTCAAATAACCTACCTTAAGGAAACAGGTGCCCTTTTCAATGTTAGGAAACGTGACTGGAGATAATCAGTCAGCGTCGTGAACTTTTTGTGAGGAGACTGACAAAAATAATTAATTCATCAGAATAAATAATTCACACTGATTGATGGGTCGCTGCAGCTGACATCACCTGTTTTCACCGGAAATTACCCCACCACTAATCCAACCTATATCGTCTTGCATCTGCATCTTTCTTGGACATGTTGGATAATTACATGCAGGGGGGTCATGTACCATTTCGTTGGCATATTGACCGCCTCCGTGGTGTAGTGGTTAGAGCGTCTGCCCGGAGAGCGGAAGGTCGCGGGTTCGATCCCCGACCGCGTCATACCAAAAGACCTTAAAATATGGTACTTGTTGGTCCCTGCCTGGCGCTCGGCATTAATGGGTACAACAAGGACTGGTCGGCTCGGAGTCAGTATAATGTGTCTGAGGGGTATTCATGCTTCACTGCGGCATGGTATCTCCGTGGGCTAGCACTATAAAACCAGTTTAAGTCTGGGCTAGTACCAGCAGCCGCACATACACAACACAGGCATGCACGTCGTCATATGAGCGAAATATTCTCAAGCACGACGTTAAACCCAATTTCACCTCACCTCGTTGACATATTGATGATTACAATGCCGAACTAGTTACATTTGTAAAATTTGTTTGTTTGTTGTTTAACGCCGCACTCAGCAATATTCCAGCTATATGGCTGAGGTCTGTAAACAATCGAATCTGGGCCAGACAATCCAGTGATCAACAAAATGAGCATCGATCTACGCGATTGGGATACGATGGCATGTGTTAACCAAGTCGGCGAGTCTGTCCACCAGATACCGTTGCGTTAGTTGCCTCTTACGACAAGCACAGGTTGCTGAAGACCAATTCTTCAAACCGGATCTTCTAGGTGGTATGTCTAGTGGTGTGTTAAAGTAACATCTGTATACATAACGGATATATATACTGGTAGATTGATATGCGTCAGAATAATTAATGTCACCAGACACATTAAGACACATTGTTTCCGGTTGTTTTTCATACACCTTTACACGACTTTGTGATGAGTGCCACTGCCCAAAGTACTCAAACCTTTTTGCGAACATCTGGTATCGTCACTATTTGTTAGCTAATAGTAAACACTTGATTATGATATACTTAGAATCCTTAACAGCTCTATTCAAACTTCTGATGATTGAATTGATCATTGAATAACTCTCTTGAAAGTATTTCTGGACATAACAAATGTCCCGTAGCACGAACCTTTTCGCGAAAATCTGGTAAGATCTATTAGCGATTCATACAAACATGCTTATGATACAGTCAGAATCGTACAACTGAGGGTGTTTTGGACAGTTATTTCTAGTGGCTCATAAAAAATATGCTTATGATACAGACAGAATCAACTGCCGTTGTTTTGAGTATATATTTTTAGTGGCTGTGGAAAAGGTTTTGTCTCATGATATCACCATTGCCACGTGGTCCATTTAAATTAAGTTAGCTGTTCTACCGATAAATATATCACGACTGCTTTGTTGAGAGTACAATCAACGATCGATGATGCAGTCATCAAACATCGACCAGATCATACATTCTGACTTGTCGAAACCAATTTGAATCTACTCTTGGTTCCAACATGAATTGGGATTTCATTCTCTGGCGGTCCAGCCACGACTATTGCAAGTCTTTGAGTGGCGACAACCCGAGGGTTATGTCGGCTTAGTTGAACGACGGTAATGGAACTGTTTGGCCAGCCAATGGTTCCCTCCAGAAATAAGTGTACATTGTACACTGTTTGCAGTGCTGGTAAATTGCTTTGGGATATGATGTGAATTAAACTGTAACCGAATTGTTCATTAACAGTAACTGTAAACGTTATGGCACAAAAGGAATACACAAAACGACAGCAGATGACGAGTATGAAAGGTGAAACGTGTGGACGGAAGTACACGTGGAAAAAAACGCATGAATATCGATCACGATTCAGAATTCTCTCAGGCATTACTGATGGAGTATATAATATATCAGAGTAATAAAGTTACCGTGCTTTATGTAAAGTTCAATAAAATGAATTATTCTTAAATTACGTCGCATATAACCATATTCGGTTTGTGCATCTGTGGAATCGATACCAAACTGCCACATTAACAGCTCGAGCATTACCTATGTTGAGAGCAATCATTTGCGGAACCATGCGCTTCCGGTTGAGGGAGCTCAACATGCGGGGATGCTCCGAGATTGGTTCTGACAGCGTCTGAGGTTCAGACGACAAGACAAGACAGTGTATTGTTCACAGGTCAGTCCCAGTCAACGCTACGGTGGTCGCAGTGGAAGTACAGTGGTATTTGGTGGTAGCACAACTTATGGAAGACCTCACCCAGCATTGTTTATTGCAATTCACTTCCATACAATATCGTTCGAGATCACGGTACATTCTACCCTTTGTGAAAATGTAGGCTAGTACGTCTCGTTAATGACTCCTTGAACGGGGTCGTACGTGGCTATTTAGGCAGTATATTTACCATTTCGGTACTCAGATGGCCACCCTTGAAGATCTGGTTTAGAATTGGTCTTCAGCAACCCATGCTTGTCGTCAGAGGCGACTGGTGAAGCCCATTCCTGGTGTCCCCCGCCGTGATGTTGCTGGAATATTGCTAAAAGCGGCGTAAAACCAAACTCACTCAGTCAGTCAGTCAGAGGCGACTGATGGGATCGGCTGGTCAGGCTCACGGACTTGGTTGGCACATGTCATTGTATCCAATTGCAAGGGTCGATGCTCATGATGTTTGTTATTTTCAAAACCACAATTAGACCGCTTAAATGAAGCACAGTTACATTTTCTTACTTGTATATGCCAAGGCCAGAGAATAACTAGTCTCGGCTATCTGACGAAAGAAATACAATGGGCGTGAAAGGCAAAATAAATGTGAAAAGTTACATGAATGGATCACTGAACATAAGTGACACCAGGTGTTGGTGAAATAGGCAGGCATGTCCTGTCCTACGAGAGGCATCCGTCACACAGACAATTGCCTAAGAGGATGCATTAAGCAAAGAAGTTATACGAACCATGGTGATGATGGGAGCTAATATTTCATGAAGGAATAATGAGGAATATAGTTTACTGTTTCAAATTGGCACCGGTGACATAAAGTAACAATGCTATCACAGTGTACGAAGTGATATACACGTAATGTGATACTACTTGTGACTCACGGAGAATGTTCCATCTGTCGCTTGTTATCTCCTTACCCTCTCGGAGAGTTATAAATTAGCCGAGGGTCGACCCCGGGGGGTCGGGGCACCTTTCGATCTACTCGACACCAGGTTAACACCTGTTATCTTTTAAATCGCAATCGATGAGTAGGCCTTGAGGGCTAGCTCAGCCTGGGGCTATGTTGTCTGTGAAGGAGATGATCGGGGGTGCATCATGGTGGGTCCGGCATCGCAGGGAACCAGTGTAGGGTGGAAGATGGAGAAATCCCCTTCAAAGTAGGTTAGATGGGTGGTTGTCATGGAGTTTTACCATGAAACAGTGGCGAAGGTGTAAGGGTTCTAGGGGTACGAAGACCAGTGTTGGTATGGAGTATGGTTAAAGATTTGGGTCGATGGGGGAGGTTGGCATGGAGATAAATGTTTCTTCAGGGAGGTACGAAAGTTGGAATGATTGCCAAGTTAAGGATTTAGTCTCGCTAAGTGAAGATGGCTTGGACACAACACGGATAGTGAATGATAAAAGAGTTCTTTGGGAACGCTGCACCGGAGGGGAGGAGTGTGTGTGTGGGGGTTATAACTCATCCAACCCATCAAAAGTTTAGACTCACTAGCCACTTACTTCAGTCAACTGTTCTAAACTGAATTTTGCAAAATATTCCATACTGTTTAAAG